CTTTGGCATTGAAGGGGAAAGAGATGAATTATTCAACTCTTCTTCTATTGAGTAAAAAGCCAATACAGAAAAAAATGCAACAGGCAATTTAATGACTGACATTTTGGAGAACATTGGGGTCATCATATGACTGAAAAAATGATTATCTCTTTTGAAGGTCAGGAAACCAGTATTTTCTCCAGTGAATCTACGGAGGGAACCAACCACCTAGCTTTTTGTAAATAGCACTCCTCAGGGAAATGTAGCTTTTTTCTTTTGTAGTGTTTCTGCTTTAAATCTTCATAGACTGTATCCCATGGAAGCAGGAATATAATGACTATAGCACTTACTTCTTTTCATGTCTCTACTGAAGAGCCACCCTGATTTATCTTTTCCTCCAAAGTAGTGTGGAACTTTACCAGGATTTAGATTATGTTAGTCATTTTGCTTGGTGATCTCTGTACACTTTTCAACATCGTTTCTAGGAGCCTTGCCACACCCAGTAAAGGAGGGTGAGGCTTCAAGAATCTCTTGGCGTACCAAGGCAAATTAGGCAATTTGTAAGAAGTCCCTAGCAAAGCAGAGTGGAGAAGAGGGCTCAGGATCTCGTGAGGACTGGGGCAGGGAGGTAGACATCCCATGAGCTCCTTTCACAGTCAACACAAAGTTAACATATCTTGGAGGAAAAACTATTACTGTATAATGGAAGGCAGAAGGCAGGAATGTCTGTGCTTGGTGATGAAGCTGGAAGTAGTGAGCTGATTTATGATGGAGGGATAAATTTTCCATAAAAGAGACATGCCTCAATTTTATTAGCTAGATTACTTCCCATACAGGGGGTGAGGAGTGAGGATTCTAAGGCATTTCTCTCTGTATTTTCAATATATCCTTTCTGGATTCACTATTACTGGCGACTTATGAATATAGGACCTATAGGGAATTAAAGCCTGAGTTTGCTTTTTAAAATTTTTTATTTTATTGAAATGAGATTTCATGGAGCAACTGATTTCACCTAGTCTTCACCAAACTATTGGTTACACTGTTTCATATGCATTCTGTCTCCCCTCCTGTGTGAAGGCCAACAGGGGCACCTGCCCATGTCTTAAGGATTGGGGGAGGTCCTAAGGTGATGAGGGATGAGTCACTCTCACTTACCACCTGCCGAGCATATCTTACCACGTTACCTCTCTTATGCTCCCCGGTTAGCAGGGCTGGCTACACTCCCACCTTATTATTAGCCGACCAATTTCATAGTGTCAAGGAGGAGAACGGAGTTTACTTTTTGAATGCCTCTAAGTTATCTATTAGAGGGTTCATTTGGGAATTGCATATCAGGAACATTCTCTCCTATTTTATCAGGAAAATAAACCAAGGTCTTGAATGTCTATCCATAGGTTGGCCCAATATAATTTTGCTTGGGATTTATAATTATTTTTCTCCATTGCTATGAACTGAAGGCATCTCATGGATATTTATTCAATGCTGAAAAGGTGTTAGAGGCTGTGTGTAAAGTCAAGACCAGTATATTGGAAGAAAAAGAGCACTCCATCTAAATAATCTTTCATAGTCTTCACATTCATTGAGAAGGTTAGTTGATAACCTTTCTGCACACTGTCTCCAACCCTGACCCAGGAACTTGCAGAGCACACCTGTGCAACAGATGTAATAACCCTTGTCCGCAAGCAATATGCACAGCTGGGAAAGATTAATCTTAAATAGGACCTTTTTGAGAGGTCTACAACATTTCAACAGAAGGATCGAGCAATCCTGCTGGCCTCCAACTGAAAACTATTACCAACAGACATACTTCAGACAGATTCCATGATCACCATACTTATGTGGCACAAGTGCTTATAAGGAGCTTCTTTGGCTTCCAAAAGGCCACTAAAACTGTCAGACCTAAATAATACTGGAATTGTAAAGTGGGAATTAAAAATTATAATTCCATTTAACATGTAAAGTTGCCATCAGAAAGCGGGCCTTTGGTTTTCCATATGGATTGGTTACATGGTCAACTGCAGTTCTAACTCATGAGACACCCCCAGATCTCATCCCGTGTGATTCTTTTTGAGGTTTATTTAGGGTGTTAGATAATCTGGGGCAGGTTTCATCATGGGTGGCAATACTACATATAGCAAATGTCATGAGAAGAGAGAAAAAGCCTCCCTTTTGAATGTTAACATTTCTGCAAGTAAGTTTAATTCACAGTATAAGTTTACATTCCTATTATGAGACTTAAAAGATTGGGGTGAAATCTTAAAGAATTATGAAATTAAGAAATGAAACCCAGAGGGCTTTCATTTTAAGTACTGACGACTTAAGCCAAAACCGGTTTGGCTTATCTGATTAGATCGTGGGTTTTGAGAAAGAGGAGCATTTACTGCTGCATCAGGAGATGTTTCCTCGAGAGCAAGGCCAGCTCCTTTTGACCCAGAACATCCCATAGGTAAATCACTGCACACCGTGGAGATACCTATTCCCTCCCTGCCCCAGCCTCCTGGGGATCTGAAACCAAATCATTGCTTTTTCATCTTTTACTTTTTTCTTATGAGCAAAGCCATCCACTTTCTCATGTTTCCTGATGCCAAGTCCTTCTTTACATGAGTGGAATCCACTCTTTTCAATGGAAAGACACCTGCTCTGAGACAGGCTACACCGTCATGAGCGTTGGCATGGCTGAGTGATGTAGTGGAAGGTGCAATAAATTTAAACTTTAAAAAAGCAATATTTGATGGAATCATGCATCTTGTGCCTACAATGAGTATATGCTGTAGCAGGATTTACAGATACATGCATGATTAATTTGAATACCGTGCAGCAAAATGATCTGTTAGAAAACACATGAGAAGAGGTGCAACATTATTAGTCATTAGGAAAATGCACATAAAACCACCATGCCTGAGTGATGCCTCTGTACATCTATTAGAATGTATAAAATCTAAAAAGACTGACCATACCAAGCATTGGTGAGGATGTAGACCAACTCGTGCTTTCATGTATTGCTGGTGAGAATGTAAATGGTACAACTACTTTGAAAACAGTTTGACAGTTTCTTAAAAAGTTAAAACATCCACCTGGCATACTATATCCAGATATCCTACTCTTACGTATTTAATCAAGAGAATAAAAGTATATATACATACAAAAACTTGTATATAAATTGCTTTTTGTAGCTTTATTTTTAATAGCCAAAAGCTAGAAACAACCCAAATGTCCAATGAAAGCATACATTGTATTTATCTATGGGATATATCCATGCAATGGAATACCACTTGGCAATAAAAAGAATCAACCCCTCATCATACGTGCAACCACATGGATAAGTCTTAAACTAATTATGCTGAGTTAAGAAGTCAGACAAAAAGGTAAGAGACTGTTAGGAGCTGAATTAGTGTGTTAAAAGTGGCAATGAAAAAGGAGAAAATTATAGCTACCTCAAGATAGAATTGATGAGCTTTGATTATGAAATGATGGTAAGAGAGGGGGCCATAGACTCTGAGGTCTGTCTCTAGCTTTGGTTTCCCTATGTGGATCATTATCTCTTTGTATATAACAATTATCTGAAAGATGGTACTTAAGCATGTAAGAATCGATAAGCTACCTGTTTAATGCTGAGCTTTTATTACCTCCAAGAACCCCAAGAAGAAACATCCTGTAAGCAGACCATTCATACTTGATTGTTAAAGGAAAACAAAATTCAATTTTGTCTTTTTTATCAACACAAGTATAGCTAGCTAATAAAAGTGTAATATTCGTGAGAGAAAAAGAAAAGAACACACACACACACATACACTCAATGGGATTCCTAGAGCCATTCCCATGGATAAGAGGGAAGGAAGGGTTGAGGGCAAAGAGAGAAGGGAGGGAAATAGACTACGATGGGATATCTTAGGGCAAAAGAATAGGGGACTGATTTGGAAGGCAGCAAACTTTATGGATACTTGATTTATTTAATGTCCCTGTCACTCTGGCACATCTTAGTGTGCATGGTATGTGATTTATTTAGTCACTTGATCCAAATTCTCTAATTAAGTGTAGCTCAGAAGAGATAGTGTCCATTGTGGTCAAGGACACAGGTTTTGGCTTCAACAGACAAATAAGCTCTCTGAGCATCTGTCTTCTCATCTATACAATGGGAATATCAGTTCCTACCTCTTCAGGTTGTTGCATTCATAAATAATTGTGTATAAGAAACATTAGGATTGCTTCTAAGGGCTCAACAAACTTCCTTCTTCTTCTTCCTCTTCTCCTCCTCCTCCTCCTTCTTCTTCTTCTTCCTCCTCCTCTTCCTCTTCTTCCTTTTCCTTTACTCCTTCCTTCTTCCTTCCTCCTTCTCATTAACATTATTAGGTAACCTCAATACTATCAGTAATGATTGGAAAAAGCTTTAATCTCCTAGTTCACCATTAGAAAACAAGAACTCATTTTGGTGGTTATTACCTGAAGTAATCATAGTATCACCTTTTTTTTTTCATCTGACTCATTATCCCAAGTGATTTATTTAAATGTGGAGTTTTCTGAGTCTTTCTTTTACATATTACAAAAAATGAGTGTGACTTAGGGACGAAGAAAAGAAATAGAAATTTGGTGACTTTCATTCTGCCTGTGCTCCAATTCCTATTTGGTCTAAGACAAGTAATTTAAATTTCTTGCACCTTAGCATCTTCTACTCAAACAGAAATGAGGAACAGTCACAGAGTGCTATGATAACTGTCTAAGTAGAATGCACACAAGTTTTCACACTGAGTATAACTTTATAGAAAGCTAAGTGTGTTACTCAAGTTGGTACATTTATGTAGATGTGACACTATGGCACTAAGAACTTAATGCCACATTGAAACTCACTGAGATAGCTAGATTTTAAAAATAATTACTTGACTTCACTATAAAGTATGTTCGTATTGCATTTATTCTGTCTAGTAGAAAATAGACCTTGTCAGTTCAAATCCCTGTTGCATTAATTTCACCAGTAATGAGTCTTTTTCATTTGAGTCAGCAGGGTTTTTCTTGCTTGTTTTCAGGCTTTGTGGATTTGACCCTCCATGATCAGGTCCACCTTCTAGAATGTGCCTGGCTAGAGATCCTGATGATTGGTCTCGTCTGGCGCTCCATGGAGCACCCAGGGAAGCTCCTGTTTGCTCCTAACTTGCTCTTGGACAGGTAAGTGACCTGGCTGTAGCTTAGGAGAAGCATGTTCTTTACGATCATAGTCCATTCATGAAACTATTTTATTCATCTCTCTGTGAAGCTTCAGAGAACTTTATTATGGGTGCACTGGGGGTGAAGAAGGCTAGTCAAATTCACACAAAGCTAAGGATAACTTTCTTCTAGACATCACCTCAGAAGAACTCTAATATTTCTAACACATACACACACACACACACACACACACTCATTATGAATGGTAATTTTCTAACTCCATCTTCAACTTGTGTCATATAAAAATTATAATAATCTCTCTTTAATTAAAATCTATTTTTGCTTCTTGTACATCCAAACCACAATAGTCTGTTCATTTTCTTCTCCAATTTTCCCATCAGTAAAATGAAAAAATTTGACCAGAGTTCTGAAGGTCACGTCCAGGTTGACAAATTCATTTTTGTTTTCAAATATGTTACCTTCCTTAACATACCATTGTGGGGTTGCCTTGGAATGTGGGTCCCATTGTTTTTTTTTTTTTTTTTCAGTCATTGCTTAGAGTAATAGAATTTAGATATTACTCAATAGCATCTGCCACTGACAGAGTCTCCACCCTGCACCAGCTGCTATGCTAAACACTTTACATACATCATCTCATTTAATCATCACTGGACTCCTAGGAAACAGGAATGCCATCATCCATGTTTTACCAGAAAGGAAACTAACTCTCAGAGACATCCTGCTACTTGCAAAAAGGAGAAAGCTCGCCAATGGTGGAGACAGAGTTGAAATTCAAGATCTTTCTGGCTCTGGTATGCTCTATTACCTCCTGTCCTGGGCACATGGTCTTCCCACTCTTTCCTGTTCAGTGATGCCTCCTTTGGTCTGCTGCCACAGCATTCTGTTTTCCAGGTAAATCTTGTCTTTGTGGGCTACATAACATTTTGGATGAGAAAGAACCATTTTGTTGTTTCTTGCAATCCTATTTTGCCTCTGTGCCGAGCAGTCTAAGGCTGCCAGGCTGCCCACAGTGCATCTCTGCATGGTCCTTTACTTCAGAGCATTTCACTATATTTCTACACCTGCCAAGCGCCTGGAGCAGAGTTGCAGCAAAATTTATTTAAGTACTGGAGAATTGTACAAGGTGTTGGTTATTGTTTTGTCATTTTGTGTTAACATAGCTTTTGAAAAACAGTGGTGATGCAGTTCAAGAAGCAGATTTTGCTGTCTGTGGAATATATTTTGATATCACAGTTTCACAAAATTATCAAGAATGGCCACTAGTCTTGTTCCTTAGAACTGTACTCACAATGTATTCTGTCAGCCTTCTAGAAGATGTCTTTACTGTGTTCTATCTTTCCATTTCTTGTTTTCCTTTCCATTTTTTCCTATCTCGTTTCTCCTCTCTTTTCCTTTGCTTTCCTCTTTCATTCTTTCTCCTATCCTCTTAGTTTTTTTGTCCTATAGCAGTGTGGTTTTGTAACCAAGTGATATCAAGTTTGCAGATGAAAATCTTAGACCACACATAATATTTCCCTGCCTACTGCCCGGAGTGTGTCTACCATGTTTAGGTTTCTGGACATTCATAACTCATTTGCTCCTTGATTTCCATCCTCATCTGTATCTATCTTCTTTTCTAAAATTTAATTCAATTTTTATAACATTGACACAATTGTGCAGATTCATAGGGTATATAGTGGTGTTTTGATGCATATAATATGTGGTGGTCATATCTATCTTCTTGAGTACACACTTGCTTGAGGACAGTCATCAAATAATTGCATTTTGAATATGTAAAGGTTTTTGACATTACTGCACCCAACACACTCATATTCCCGATGAGGTGATATGGCCTAGGATTTTATCAGCTACAGCCTTCTCTTTCCTTTCTCTACACTCTAGTGGTAGCTAATTTTCTTTCCTATCTCTCACAGAAGTATGATTGACTAAAAGTTCTCATCTCTATTCATTCATACTTTCTAAAACTTCAGATTGGAAGTTTTAATTCCCTCTAGACCAGGATTTGTCAATCTCTTTACTATTGACATTTTGGGTCAGATCATTCTTTCATTCTTTCTTGGTTGAGGCATTGATATTGTTTGGCTGTGTTCTCATCCAAATCTCAAATTGTAGCTCCCATAATTTCATGTGTCATGGGAGGGACCTGGTGGGAGGTAACTGAAACATGAGGGAAGGTCTTTCCCTTGCTGTTCTCATGATAGTGAATTTCTCATGATATCTGATGGTTTTATAAAGGGGAGTTCCCCTGCACATGCTCTCTCTCTTGCCTGTTGCCATGTAAGATGTGACTTTGCTCCTCCTTCCACCATGATTGTGAGGCTTCCCCAGCCACAAGGAACTGTGAGTCCATTAAACCTTTTTCTTTGTAAATTACCCAGTCTCAGGTATGTCTTTATTAGCAGCTTGAGAACAGACTAATACAAGAGGCTGTATTGTGCATTTTGGGATGTTTAGCAGCATCCCTGGACTTCACCAGCTAGCTGCCAATAGCAACATCCACTTCCTCCAGTTATAATAACCAACGATGTCTAACTATCTTCTAACTATCATTTCTAACTATCTTCTGTTATGTCAGGGGTGGGAGAGGTAAAATTGTCCCTGGTTGAGAATCACCACTCTATGCTTTCCCAACTCAATGTTCTATAGGCTCCTCAGACACACTATAGTCTAAACTGAACACTTTATCTTCTGCAACAAGTCTGTTTGTTTTGTCTTTTCTTTTCTTTTCTGTCTTGGTGACATCAACACTCACCTAGACACTAAAGCTAGAAGCTTTAAGTTACCCATGGATTCTACCTTCTCCCTCACCAAATTATCCGGTTAACTATCTATGAACTGCTTCCAAATCCAGACCTCCCCTCTATCCCCATTCCTCTGCATGGCACAGGTCCTGGTTGTCCCTGCTGCAGATTCCTTGCTTCTGTACCACGGACTCACTTTCTTGGTCCTGCTACTCCTTCTTTCAGTCCATTTCCCATAGTGCTGCTGGAGAAGGCTTTCTAAGGCACAGCTGTGATCATGATACTTCCTGACTCACCTTTCAGTGGCTCAATTCTTAACACAGAGAAACCCCGTCTCTACTAAAAATACAAAATTAGCCGGTCATGGTGGTGCATGCCTGTAATTCCAGCTGCTTGAGAGGCTGAGGCAGGAGAATCACTTGAACCTGGGAGGCGGAGGTTGTGGTGAGCTGAAATTGTGCCATTGCCCTCCAGCCTGGATGAAACTCCATCTCAAAAAAAAAAAAAAAAAAAGAAAGAAAAAAAGAAAATACTGTCTGTGTAGACTTCTTATCCTAATAATCATGAATCTCTATAACAAGTGTCTCAAACACAAATTTCTGAAGAGTCATAGGTGACCCAGTGAGCTCTTGTCCAGGCTAAAAACACCTGGTGGCTGAATTCAGAACTTCACACATTTGAATTTCTCTTCCATTGCTTCCTAGAGACCCTCCACCATTGCGGTTCCTTATCAGAATCATATCTACCTATAAGGCTCATTTCACGTGCCATCTTTTTATAAAATCTTCCTTCAAACTTTCTCCTCTTCAGCCTTTATATATAAAAGGCTTTTCTTTCTTTTCCAAGTTCCTATTGTAGTTGGTTTTCTTTTCTCTTTATTATTTTCATTCCACCATAATAGTTATGATTGGATGTCTTATCTTCCCTACTAGCTCATAAACCTCTTGTGGTCAAAAACCAGATCTTGCTCATCTTATGTGATCTCCAGTTTACAAAGTCTTGCACGATACCCAACGAATGTTTGTTAATTGCACAGGTCAAGGTCACCCAGGTGGCTTGTGGTCAAATCAAAATAATCTACATCTTCTGATAGTCATGGCAGCTGTTACTTCCATCCAACTTACTTCTTGTGCATTGCTACTCATCAATTTCTGGCTTATTCCTTTAAAAACATTGCAGAAATACATATCTATGTGTTTTGGAGAGATTTTCTTAATCTATAAGTGCATTTGGCATGTGCTTATATGTCTGCTTATATGCCACCGACTTGTTATGCAACTTTGAAATGGGGAAAAGCAAAGACTCTTATCTTTACCATAACCAAACCCTTTATGAAGCAAAATCCTTAAGGTCTCACTACAGGTTAGAATAATTAGATGATATGATTTGGTTGTGTTCCTACCCAAATCTCACCTTGAATTGTAATAATCCCCAGGTGTCAAGGGTGGGGCCGGGTGGAGATAATTGAATCATGTTTTCCCCATACTGTTACTGTAGTAGTGAATAAGTTTCATGAGATCTGATGGTTTTATAAATGGGAGTCCCCCTGCACAAGCTCTTTTGCCTGCCGCCATGTAAGATGTGACTTTGCTTCTCCTTGCCTTCTGCCATGATTATGAGGCCTCCCCAGCCATATGAAACTCTGAGTCAATTAAACCTCTTTCTTTTATAGATTACCCAGTCTCAAGTATGGCTTTATTAGCAGCATGAGAACAAACTAATACGTTAGGTATATGTTGATGATAAGGAATGTGTATAAATACATATACATTTATGTTTAAATATAATTAATATTTACAAATAACATAAGATATTAAAATATGATCTATAATTTTAAAAATTATCTACTTTTCTAATCATTAACATGCACTAAATATTATTAAATTTCAATATTATTTAATTACCATCTTGGTGTTTGAGGATAGCCACTTTTGATGGCATTGATAGATGCATTAACAGTAAAACATTGTGACCAACAGCCCATCTGAGATTTTATACATGTAGAAGATAGCTTCTGAGTGACAGCTGAAAACACTATTTATGTCTTTGCCCTACAGGTTCCTAACCCCTTTAATAAAATAGAGCTCTCTGATGCACATGACACATGGGTCTTCCTTTTGCTCTTGTCCCATCACATTGTACATAGTAAACATTTTAGTAACAAATGGTAGATACTTGTAACTTTCAAAGCTAAGTGATTGACAGCTGAGAGGCAGATGATGGTAATTTCATCATTTTTCTCATATCTCAGGCATTGTG